ACAAGCAGTCATTGTCACCTTATTCTGTAGGGACACGTGTCACTCCTTTCCGACTCACACACATTACAAAGGTCAGAACTGCAATGTGCCTGTACTCTCACGATAAATTTACTCTCCTCTCCGGCAAAACGCAACTACCGAGAGACGCAACGAAATTAATTGCTAAATAAAGCCAATCGTTGTAACCAGAACTTACTTCGCGAGAATAATATGAAATAGCGGATATTGCAGCGTTCCCTGCGGCGAAGAACGTATAATCAATCGACAGCGATCACCGAGAGGCAGTCGCCATTAATTTACAGTGACGTCCTGTATTTCATTCTAACCGCTAGGTAAATGGCAGTTTGAAACGGATTTAGTTCCTTATCAGGGCACGGAAGAGGTAGTCGCCTAGGGGCGCGGCACGCTTTGCGGTGCAGAGAGTCGCAATTTAAGTAAAAAAATTAAAAGATTATTTAAACTCATAAAATTCCTGAATCTGTGATGCGGTATCTCAGGTTTTAAAATAAAGACCTCAACTCGTTCGTGGCCGCCTCTGTGGTCCAGTGGTCAGGGTTCGTGGCTGCAGATCCAGAGGTCCCGGGTTCGATTCCCGGCGCTACCACATTTTCTGAGAAGTAGTGGGTCTAGAACTGGGTCCACTCAGCATCGTGAGGACAACTGAGGAGCTATATCAAGGAAATAGCGGCTCCTGTACAGAAAATCGAGATTAAGAGCAGTGGGGAATTATTGCGCTGGCCATGTGACACCCTCTAACCGCAAAAGTTGGAACTAACTTCGCGGACAAGTGGCGGTCGCTCGGTCGGTATAGTACGCTTGCGAACTACAGGCCATGGAGTTTATTTTTTTAACTTGTTCGGTGAGTAACATCACGCCGATATTAAGGAATTTGCGGAACCTGATTTCTTGGGGGGGGGATAGAGGAATAGAAAATGCAGGCAGATGATAACCGCAATGTGAGATAAGGTTCTCACTCTCCATTCAACAGCGATCCATAACCTGAAATGTACGGACGGTCTGACTGCGTCTCAACAAAGCCGTATAAGCACGTTGCTGATGGCAGGAAAGGACAGAAGGAAAATACATCAAACTCTCAAAATTGCCATAAAAGACGTTACATAGTAAAATAAAGCTGTCTCTCAGCATAATTAATTAAGCACAACGCCATGAAGAAGTATGGGGGAATGGAAGTACAGATCCACCACTCTTGACATCGGAACTAGATGGATGTGAATGGTCAGCTTCACGCCCCTGCAGCTTTACCCCGGAGGAATATGCTTCTAGTCCCAATTGTATAGGAGGCTGGGTGAGTCTCACAGCCGGTCTGGACGCTGTGGAATAGAAATTTCTTGCCTCTGCCGGGAATCGAATCCCAGCCGCCCAGCCCGTGACTACCGGCTGAGTTAAATGTGAATGGCACACAGCAAAACTTTAGACAACGAAAGAGAAATCTTACGACAAAATCTTTTCAGTCTACCGAGCATAACTGGAAGGGACGAAGCAAGACTTGGGAAAGTGTTCTGTGTGCATTGCAAGCTGACAGAAAGAGAACTGTCGAACTCAGTGATGTGTACAGGGAATCCAGTGCAGTGAATCCCGTATCGACAGACGAAGATAGTAACGCTGCGCAGTCTGGTAGAAGTTCATCGACGTCTCAGAGAAACGTACTGCCTCCATCTTCAGGGTTGAAAAGTAACACAAGAAAGAGGCGGCAAGGAAAGGTTTGCGTTACATCACAGAAGACAGTATTCTTACCAGTAACTGCTGCGGAAAGTATAAATCCAACATAAACTGGTAACAATTCCGTCGTCACATCAAGATCAGGCCGTCCTGTTCTACTTTTACTTAAAGTTCAGGCATTAACACGCGATGGACAACGGTAGAACAGAGAGTTAAATAGTGTACAAGGCAGGCAGTACTTAGTTTTGACGATGTAACTGATGAATTTCAATTTAGTTTTATTGTAGCCTACTCAGTGTCGAATTTGCAAATGCACGTAAAATGCGCTCAAGGAATTCTTGTGCTTCTCCAATGTAAATTGAGTAATGTAACAGGCTGTGGGGACCCATAGGGTTGTGAGACGTCGAGGCTTCCACATTCTCTAGACAATCGGCTCACATATGGCGGTAAGGTTGTCAGCTTTACGCGCCAACCGCCCTTTACTCCCCAGGAAGATTCCTGGTACTCATTTCGACTAGAAGCTGAGTCTAACCCAGAGCCATGGTACGGCTGGAAGGATCAGGTAAATTGAAAAAAATCCAATGACCTCATCGGGACTCGAATCCGCGACCTTACGGCTTGAAGCATAGTGCCTCAACCATATTATATTTAAGCATCCTGTTACATTCCACACTTCTATATGTATAATATAAACTCCGTCGTAAATGCAACATTTTATTGTAGTTCTTGTCCCCCTTCTTTCACACTACATGTTTCGGCCGCAACCGGGCATCATCAGGTGTATTTCACTTCACGTAGCTGTCACATTGCACTCAATATTAACATTTAAACTCCAGATTTCCAACTGTTCATTGCTCTGTCGTCACTCGGCACCCGATATTCCAGAACTCCCCTTGTCGGTTTTGTCAATTATGTTAAATATTAATATTGACTCGTCGATTGATTTAAAATTTTAAATTCTCAATTTAGTTTTAATATTTAAAATTTATATTTAAATTTAAAGTAAAAAATCACAGAGATACTTGCTCTATGCTTATATGTGCTGCATGGCTACCTCTTGCTTTCAGCACAACTCGCGTGTTATTTTGTGCAGGCTCTCTGTGTGCGTGCCACTGCTATTCTTTAAGCAAACGTATTGAGCATGCACGCACGCAACTAAAACGAAGATCACAGGTCCAGGCCGCGAAAGGAAACGGCACCTGCGACTGCGCACATTAAACAGGCACTGCTAACTGTACACAGAACATGCACAAACTCAAGTAAAAACTCGATAAAAACGGTGGAAATAAACCAATTGATTCCACAGGGGAGTTCTTCGTGGAAGAACCATGTTCAAGAAATTCCCCGCTTTCATGGAACCCGAAGATTAAGGAATTCAGTCTCTAGAAACAATCTGCTACAACGTGGGACTCGCAAATCTTGTGATGTCATTGTTTATGAACTTAAATCGACTACACAAGTCTGCAGCATTTATTACGTGATATATAATGTGGAGTTCCACCACGTCAGCTCTTCACCTGAGAGCACCTGCAAATTATGTTATGAGATAAATTAAATTTCACAATACCTTAACGCGCTGAACACTGAAAATCGGGTTTCTCATTGTGAGACATATTCTCCTCAAAAAACAAACTCCGTGGCCTGTAATCCGCAAGAGAACTATACCGACCGAACGACGGCCGCTTGTCAGCGAAGTTAGTGCCAACTTTTGCGGATAGAGGGTGTCACGTGGTCAGCGCAACGGATCCCCACGGCCGTTAATCTCGATTTTCTAGACCGGAGACGCTTTTTCCTTGAAATAGCTTCTCAATTATCCTCACGAGGCTGAGTGGACCCCGTTCCAGATTCACTACTTATCAGAAAATCTGGCAGAGCTGGGAATCGAACCCGGGACTTCTGGATCTGTAACTAGGAACTCTGACCACTAGACCACAGAGGCGGTCCAAACAAAACATGACAGTTACGTAAAATTAGGAGTTCTTTTATAAAGTTTCTATTTGATCCTGATAATAAAGCGCCCAGTTTCTGTCTACGAAATGTATAAGTAGGGGGATTACCAGCCCACACGCACAACGCACAGGCTCGATGACGTGAGCACTCCTCGTTGCCTGGCGTCTGTCTCTCAACTTTTCCGCAAAGGAAGACCTGGCCACGGAGCGAGTACGTGAAGTAGGAACAGGGCTGATTGCTTACACCACGAAGCGCAGAAGAAGAAAAGACAGGTTAACGAAACATTGCCCGCTTCCATGGGAAATACTCATTGCCTGAACTAATATACGTATTTAATGAGCGGCTCTTTCCGATAAACCTTATAAATATTCCGGTAGTGCAGAACACTGAGGTTATGTATAACAATGTGAAGTTAGTGAAGATATTGTGTTAATCAACGTTTCGGAGGAACGTAGCGCCTCCATATTCTGGGTAGAAGAAAAAATAAGAAAATCCGCAAGCGAAGAACCAGCGTGAGCAGATGCAAATAGACTAATGTCGAGAATAAACTCAGCTGTGTAAGAGTAGGAAGAGAAGGAAATCGGAAATCAGAAGAGTGGAGAGAGGAAGGGTCTGGGGAGGTGGGCCAGCAGGTAGCAGGCTAGGTCAGGTATAGAATATTGTGCCGGGGGAGAAAGGCAAGGTTAATGGGAGGCCATTAACCCTTAAGCTTTGGAGTTGCTATGCGATACGTTCCTCCGAAACGTCGGTTAACACAATATCTACACGGCACCATATCCCAGAAGACTGCTTTCTTCATAGTCGCCGCCGTGAAAACCTCAAATCTAACACTTAGAGGTTATGTCTGACAATTCGTGGTTAGCGGAAATCTACACTACCAGATATCATGCACAGAAATAGATTATGTTGCATACTTACACATTCATAAACTTTATAAATTGCATCCTGTTGTGTATATAATATTTGATTTTTAATTGTATTAAAACCGTCAACACAACACAACGAATAGTATGGAAATATCTTCAATGGAGGTAGTCAATATTACTGTATATTTTACTTATTTATTTCAAATATTAATTACAAAAATATTTGTAATAAATAAGTAAAATGTACATTAACATTTATTATCTCAATTGAATATATTTCCAAACTATTCGTTGTGTTGTGTTGACGGTTATAATACCAATAAAAATCAAATATTACGTATTCTTTATTTACTTTGGTTTGTCTATAAAAGTCAGATAACGCCACAGAAGCTAGGCGCCAGGAATTTTTAGTCCAGAGCACGTTAAGTTCTAAAATATCTGCTACTGCATCCTAGATACCCGCGTAACTGAAGTGGAATGGGTGCAAATGGAGTCATGACTCACCCTCTTCCTGGTCTCGTAGTCCAGAGCACCGGCCACATAGATGGCGCCAGTCATGTTCTTGACTGCGAACGCTCCTCCTATGTTCCCGCTCGTGATCTCATATCGAATACGGGAAGCTGAAAACAAACACATTATTAACTTCACGTTAAGCCGAAGGAAGCAAACAACACTCCCTACTTAAGGAGCTGAACCTAAAGTGAGTTACACTGCTCTAGTAGAACATCAACTTTCATCGCCGCTAATAACAAATGCTGCCATTCCACACAAACCTCTGCCACATAATTATCCAAGTCGGGCCATTTCCAAAATGTGCCCCGTCAAAATTCTGCATGCATTCCTCGTCTCCCGTAATCTACAGCCTGTTTCAAAGTGATGGAACCGATTTTAAATTGCTATATATCTGCAACCGCGAGCCGCCCGTGAATAGAAACTCTTACCACTTGAAAAGATGGAGGGTAGAGTTTCAAATGATTATCGCCAGATGCCTCTCCCAGCGCACAGTCCCTGGCCTCAGTCATTGGCAAGATGGTGACACCACAACACAAATCGTTCTGCATTCCGCAACTCAGCAAGACTGAATCCGTAAGTGCAGTGCAGCGTGCATTCCGACGGCGTTTCGGCATTGATCCGCCAGTGTCAAAGAACATTCGTCACTGGTACCGACAATTTGAGCAGACAGGCTGTGTCTGTAGGGGAAAGATCATATGGAGACCACGTACTTCAGAGGAAAACGTAGTTTACGGCCAACACATCGCAGCTTCTTAGATTTAACAATTCTAAGTAATTCACAAAGCTCATTGTTATGTAACAACATACACTGCCAACTTAACTCATCCTCCTTAGGGAATATTTTTCCTCAACACATAATTCTCAAACATTTGTAATTTCTGTTTTCCCCTCAAATTAACAGACCACGTAACGTTTCACACACACACAAACTGAAAATTATTGGCACATGGCATAAAATACTGGTAACACAGATCTACAGCTCCTATTTGAAACATTTCAGATACAGCACACACTTCGTGATGCACAGGTAAAAACAGTGTATGGCTCTATGCAGCAGGTCAATATCTGCCGCGTGATATGTTCGGAAACACTGGTACGTTTATATACACAGCAACGGAACCGTACGTGGTACCGCCGGTACGGCCGTAGCGATACCACTGAAGTACGCAAAACAAGAAAGACGCAGTTTGAAGATATCTGCATTGTTCTGAGGGAAACCTTTTCATTCCTGTTAATTATGCATACGTGACATCCCAGATAGACACACTACTCTGTGGTTTGCAATACATCAAACAGTACCGGGCTGACAGGATACACAATGTTTACACACTTGGCTGGACCTGTTTCGGGTCCCTGCTCAGAACCGTACATCAGTACGAGTGAACGGATAACCGCCAGCCTATTGTATGCAAGTAAACGTTTATGAAAATGCAACAGACCTTCGTACCAGCGACGGCAGAGAGTATTTATCAGGCAACCATGTTTCCGTTGGACGCTCTTTTGGAATGAAATACTCTTCAACACTTCAGCGGGACAGGAACACAGGATTCCGCTTGAAATGAGGGTTCAATGGAATTCATGTGAGCATAAATTCTAAAATTGTGGCAATGAGTGTCACAAGGACGCACACCATTTAAACATGTCTATCTTTCAAGACAATAAGCAAATTACCGTACGGATTGGTGCTCGGTCAATCCATTGGAAAATTGGACGACTGTAGGGCGTTTACCCATATGTGGTGACACTGTCTACTTTCATTCCCGGCACTACCAGATTTACTGATAAGTAGTGGATCTGGAACGGGGTCCACTCAGCCTCGTGGGGATAACTGAGGAGCCATTTCAAGGAAATAGCGGCTCCGGTCTAGAAAACCGAGATTAATGGCCGTGGGGATCCGTTGCGCTGACCGTGCGACACCCTCTATCCGCACTAACTTCACCGACACGAGGCGGTCGCTCGGTCTGTATAGTTCGCTTGCGGACTACAGGCCACAGAGGGTTTTTTTTTTTGTTTCCCCACATACCTTCGTATCGTACTGCTTAGTGGGGGATGCTGTGACTTCATTTGTGACCTTCATTGCGGATTCTAAATGTCTCTTCCGGTCTTGCTCCTTGTCTATGTACTCACCTGAGACTGTATTATGATCGGTCATACTGTTATCTGTTATTGTTTCATGTAACTATTCCTGCTTTTCGGCATTGGCTCTTGTTTATCGCAAGTGCGCAGTCGGATTGTGACCACATAAAGTTCAGTGCTCACTGCTGCGAATCTAAATGCTGTTTTATCTGTTCAGCACATGTTCACAGAGTTCTATTACAACCGTGTATCGAATTATTTTATTGTACTGTAAATTTTAACTACGGTCGATAGCAAGTGGGGGCAAAAGCGGCCTCCGTAGTCTAGAGGTAACGTTCCCACCTCATGACTCGTGGTACGCGGGTTCAAATACCCGGCGGAGGTCGTCGAATTTTTAAGGGCGGAAAAATTCAGGGAACAAGTCCTCCGTGAGGGACTTTATGCTGTGTGTCCCGTGTCGTAACTTTACGGCACGTAAAAGAACCTCATATCCCGAAAGGGGATCACTGAGCCAAATTCCAGGACGTTTCCCGCCTAACAATAGTCTCTAAGGCCTCTGATAGATGGGGGAAGCATTATAGACACCGCTAAGCAAGTGGCCGAACTCGCTTGCTCGGCGGGAGTGATGGTACGCACCATTTATCGGTAGGGTACAGAGACTGGTAGAATATCATTGAGGGAAGCACAATAGATCAAACTGGTCGCGGTGCATGGGGAAACCCACCCTCTCTAAAGAGCTAACTAAGTAGGGGCCAAAAGGAGGGAGGACATTGCACACCCTTCCGAACAGTAAAGAAAGACAAGCACATGCGATAACGAGTTCGAATTCTTGTTCGTCCCGACAGTAGCCGCAGAATAGGCAGCCCTCATGTATAATGACGTCACAGAAGTCACGTGGAGAGCTGCTCGCTTCCACGGATTGAAAAACATGACGGAAACTTGGCAACTTGTATCAGATAACTCATACTTACCATCCAAGTTGGGACGGAGTTCCGAACTTGCTTGCACCTTATCCTTTGCTATACTTGGCGGAACAGAGTAATTCTAAGCGAAGAACCAAGCACCAAGCACCAAGCCTTGTCACAGTTTAATTGTGTTAAAATGGTTTCATGACATACTTCCCTTCCCAAGCGAAAATTCGCTGCAAACTTTATACAGGTCGGTGTGCTGCTGACATTTCTAAATGAGGAAACACTCCGAGACGATTATTAGGAGAGACGAAAAGTAGACGCTGTGGTTTTGCGACCATGTAGTTGAATGGAAGTACGCTTACCAACTGCTGCCACTAAAATTCATTTCCAGTAAGAAGTCCTCAGTTCTATAATGTGAAATCGGTACTCAGTGATTCAAGTCGTAAATAAATCATTAGGTATGTAGGATTTGAGGTTGAGACTATGAAGACTTCCGTGTTCTGTGATGTGGCGCCGTTGAGATCTTGTGAATTGAACCCACGTTTCGGAGGATCATATCTCCTCCATCATCAGGGTAGAAAATCCGTAAGCGAGAAACCATGGTGAGCAGGTGGCAGCAGTCTGTTGTTACTCCTACCATAGAAGCCATAATTCGATTTTGCAGCTCCTGCAAATTCCTGGGCAATGGTGGCACGTAGACAGTGTCTCTCACGTAGCCCGAACCTCCATGGTTTTAGTCCGCAAGCGAACTATACTGACCGAGTGACCGTCGCTTGTTGACTAAGTTACTGCCAACTTTAGCGGATAGAGGTGTCGCGTGGCCAGCGCAACGAATCCCCAGGGCCATTAATCTCGGTTTTCTAGACCGGAGCCGCTATTTCCTTGAAATAGCCCCTCAATTATCCTCACGAGGATGACTGGACCCCGTTCCAGACTCATTGCTTCTCAGAAAATCTGGTAATGCTGGGAATCGAACCCAGACCTCTGGATCTGTAGCCATGAACTCTGACCACTGAACCACAGAGGCGGTCTTCACGTAGCCCCACAAGATGGAATATATCAAATCGTTTTCAAATAATAATTAATATAATTACAGTAATTTAAAATTCTTTTTTTGAAGATCCTGTATAAACAGGGCGGCGTTTTAAATAAAAACAGAGCGATGCATAACGTCAAGAAACATAATACAGTAAAACTTGGTTATAGCAACATCGGTTTCTGCGACACCTTGTCTATTGCGTCAAATATTCAATGGTACGAACTAATTCCTCATAAAGCAACTGTTTTTATACCTTGCTTAGTACGACATGCACAAATGCATCAACCTCGTATGTAACGTCATTTTCATTCCTGAATTTCTCTGATATCGTGGGAAAGTTCGATGTGTCTGCCCACCCTCACTTTCTCTACTTGCTGACGAGACTGTCCTGGAAGAATACGACCGCGGCCTGCAAGAAAAGCGTGGGTTTTATGCGAAAACAAGGGTGTGGGGTGGGACTGCGTGGGACANGGAGCCGCTATTTCCTTGAAATAGCCCCTCAATTATCCTCACGGGGATGAGTGGACCCCGTTCCAGACCCATTGCTTCTCAGAAAATCTGGTAGCGCTGAGAATCTNCATTTGGGCAATTCCACGTTAATGTTACGTTAGTCTGTACTTAACTACGTATTTCACTAAAAAATGCAACATTTTAACTCGGTTTTTTGTAGTTTTTACGTGACTAACATAAGGCTACTGTGGAAGTGCCCATTTCGGTTACAACGACATTCGTTTATAACGACACTATTTTTAGGTCCCTTTGATGACGTTATAACCAAGTTCTACTGTATTTGTATATCTACGATGAGAAATCAGCTCATTTGTCCTCGCTCACTAATATCGATTATTTATATTTAATTTATTTCATATTATGAAAATTAGGTCATCCATAAATTAAAGAAACCAACTGGAGAAATGAGGCGATTGCACAAGCTATGCCTCGCGTTACAAAGACCAAAGCCGATACCAGTTCTCTCTGCGTTAATTGGTAAGGTTTGGTAACGTGTGTGGCGAAATTAAAAACTCGCTGCCTCCATTACTGCCTGTGTGCAGCTCCCCATGAATTTTAATTTCTTGATTTC